GCTTCTTGACCTTTAGCGTGTACATCGGCTCAGCCATCTATACACCAGCTATTCCTGGTCTGATGGCTGAATTCAATGTCTCTCAGACAACCGCTACTCTCGGTCTTACGCTGTACGTTCTTGGTAAGTTGTTCCGCGTCTAACTGCAGTCCGCGCGGTCCTGACGTTCTTAAACAGCGTATGGTATCGGGCCCATGTTTTTGGCGCCTCTCCAAGAACTTCCGGGGATAGGTCGTAACCCGGTGTACATGGCCACCTTGTTCCTATTCGTCATCTTCCAGGTACCTGTCGCCGTCGCCAAAAACATGAGCATGGTCTTGGCGTTCCGGTTCCTCACTGGGTTTGTCGGCAGCCCTGCTCTCGCTACAGGAGGTGCCTCCATGGCGGACATCTACTCTATGCATCAATTCCCGTACGTTTTGGGAATCTGGGCACTCGGAGCGGTCGCTGGTCCTATCACCGGTCCCGTTATTGGAGGGTTCGCAGCACAGGCAAACGGATGGAGGTGGCCTCAGTACGAGCTCATCTGGATCGCCGGTTTCGCTCTCATCTTCCTCCTGCTACTTCTGCCAGAGACCTACGAGCCAACAATCTTATTGAAACGCGCGCAACGGCTCAGGAAGCTCACGGGAAACCAGGAGCTGAGGTCCCAAAGTGAGAAGGATACAGAGGGCGAGTCTCTCGGAGCGGTAATGCATGAGGCCCTGATCCGACCTTTCATTCTTGCGAAGGAGCCAGTTTTGATGTTCGCAAATGTCTACTTGGGATTCGTCTGTGAGTAATACCTACCTATCTGTTCGGTTAAGATTCCTAATCGACTCCATTTCTATCAGATGCAATCTTTTACCTGTGGTTCGAAGCTTTCCCACTTGTGTTTACCGACATCTATCATTTCAATTTGGGTGTCAGCGGTTTGCCTTTCCTAGGGTTTGTCGTATCCGGTGCCATCACAGTAAGTGTTGTTATCCCATCCGAGTCCTAGTCCTGACAGATGTTCTCTAGTACACTGTATATGTTTTCTATCTGAAATACCACATCGCACCTAGATTCGCCAAAGCCACAGCTGCGGGTGTCGACATTGGCCCCGAGATCCGCCTGGAGATTGGTCTGATCGCCAGTATCTTCATCCCGACTAGCGTCCTCATTTTCGGATTCACTTCGAAGGAAAGCATCCACTGGATCGTTCCCATTATCGGCGCTGCACTCTACCTTCCCGGCATCTACCTCACCTTCCAGAGTATCCTGACGTATGTAACTTCAGCGTATCCTACGTACGCCGCGTCGGTTCTCGCTGGCAACGATCTCTTCCGTTCCGCTATTGCTAGCGTCTTCCCACTATTCGGGCGTGCATTCTTCGTCAATCTCGGTTTGGGCCCGGGCTCTGCCCTGCTCGCGGGCGTCTCTTTCCTGCTGATGCCGGTGTTTTGGGTATGTCCTCTATCCAAACCTTTGTCTTTCACAAGCTGACCCTTTTGTTTTAGTCATTGTGGAAATGGGGACATGTTTTGAGGAGGCGATCCGTGTATGCGGCCAGCCCATAAAAGGACTCGACACTTTCGGCTACTTTCATCAGCTTTCGCTGTTGTCTTTGCACTCAGAAACGAACACAAGCTCCCAAAGAGCTTGTTACGACTTAGACTATACCAGATAGAACGTCCTCGCATGATAGAGTTATATCACTAGCTAACCGTATACCTTGTATTTCTAGACATGGGGCCGAATTGGCTTCTTTAGAGCATGAACACGAACTGTAATGAAATAAACTAATGCAATGATACTTCATTGAGCGAACGGTTGTGTTGATTGCTGTCAAAGGTCTTACGAGCTCTTTCAAGTGAAAAAACAAGATCAGTGCGACACGTCCAGGATGGGGGTTGCAAAAGCATCGTGTTCGAGTCGCGGCGGAGGTAGCAAACACTGTGACTGAGCGCTCGGGTGTCGCTGTCATGTGATTCCCTCTACGTTACTCTCCTCCATCATCAGAGCCCGGCCATTGCGTCATTACCTCAACACGCATATAACCAGAATGCAGCGGCGCACAGACCAGCCGCTGCCAGGCTATAAGAGGGGCGCGCATCTATGACACCGCCGCTAATCTTTCTTTCTTCCCTCCCCACCATCTCTGCTTTCTCTCCCTTGCCGTTGTCGCGTCCTAGATCCCGCCAAGTACCAACAGGATGCGATTACGCGCACCGTTCCGTTGATCCTCTCCCCCAGTGAATCTCCACAGATCCTTGGCTGCATGCAATCGGTATGTCTCTTCCAAAGGAGCTTGCCAAAGACACATTCGATGAGAACAAGAACAGGCTTGTCAGAACCGCTATCAATGCCTCAACCCGATCCAGTCCTGGCTTCCGCCTTGGAAGCGGCCTTTACAGAGGCGCTCTCAAAGGTCGGATCCAATTCCTCTTTCAAAACCATTCACCGCCGCCGCTGCCGCATGCAAACGCTTTGGGCCGTTATTGTTAACGACATTACCGTATGGTTGGGTCAAGGGCGAGACGCAGGACATGAGAATGATGCAGGCGCATGCTCGTCGGCCGCTCTGCGTTTTTGTACGTGCGTTTGATATACTTTTCTTCACCTTCTGACTTGTCAATGTTTAGGCGTGCGGTGTCCGAGGAGCGTTGGCATAACCATTAAGGCAGTAGCACTCCACGACCTCTTACCCGATTTCATTTACAGCATCGCAAAATACGCCTGAGACAGAAATGTCAACATGGCATCGCTCACTAGAGGAATGAACGCTAGACACCCACTGCCGTGCCTGTCAGCATACTCTCCTCGTCCATTTTGATATGGGCTCACAACTGTGCAGGTTCGATGAACTCGAGCTCGAGCGCAGCTTAGGTGACAGGATCATGTACGGCAAGGAAGAACTCAAAACAGACAGCTATGCAGAAGGCTCATCTTAAGCTCCAAGGCTCCAAGATACCGAAAAATGTTCATCGATCATGATGGCGGCAGCCTGGCAGAGTGTCATCCCAGCACGATGTTTAACGACCGTTGTCCATCTTGCAGGACATTATTGCATCCGCAGACTCTACCACCATCATCACCACCTGACGAGACCGAGCTTCGCCCTGAGCCCTCCCTCAATTTCTGACACTTCTCCCAGGATCATCAGGGCCGGGATTGTGGCAAATTCAAACACCAGAGCAAGGATCATAATCGCGAGGACCGCAAGTTTAACTCAAGAGTCCAACCTGCTCAAAAACACATGTGTGTATGTCCCCGTTTTGCAACATGTTCTCTCCCTCATGGCTGTGGCAGGATGGACACGCCCTAGTTTGATGTTGACTCCTGACGACGATGTGTTTGAATGGTCTATAGTGACTGTTGTTCCTTCCGCGCTGGTACAATCAAGAAGGTCTAAGTCCACTGTCTGCAGGACTGCCCCGAGAAACTCGTATTCCTCAACATCAAAGATGAGCATGACAATTACCCCAACTGTTCAGAAGCGTCAATAAGTGTGGATGGCCAGTATGTTTTGTTGCGGATGCTGGGGACCCCTGGCCGGTCGGCGATGTAAGTTTCTCATGTTCAACACAAACCTTTGCTGGTTCAGTCGGGGCCTCGACAACCTTTTATCAATCTTTGCATATGTCCAGAGCAAGAACTATTGATTGTTTCCCTCAGAATTCCGCTGATATTATTCAGGCGTAATTGCTTGTCTCTCCGACGTTGATAGTACTCGCTCAGAGTCTGCGAGTCCGGATGTTTAAAAGTTCAGGTCATGTTTTCTCGTGAGTCGTCAAACCAAAGTGAAGACGAGCTGATAATGACTAACTAGTGTTAAAGTGGGAGTTGCCAACGCCATCCTAGACATAGTGTCTGACAGTTAAGCGATGGTTACGGTAACATGCTGTGAAGCACAATGGAGGCATTGAGGGCACCACAACGTATGTCACGCTCCCATCAAGAGCAACAACGAGCGAAGGAGGGTGTAGTTGCACTTAAGGGTACACGGTATTTTGAGAAAGGACATCTGAACATCGTCGCAGAACATGTATTTCCTCAAGCCATCACTATTAGTGAGATGTCCGAGCGGTTAGTAATGATGGCCACTTTCAACGGTTATTTGTTAGGCACTGTGAAGCATAGACAGCATGCTTCGGTGGAATATGCATGCTACTATAAGTCCTACTTGATGTTATCTGGTGAGATGGCTGAGCGATTGACCTACTCAGAAATGATTTGATTGGCCGCGCATTAATAGCAGCTAGGTATCATGGGTATGGAGGTATAGACAGCAGCGGGAGGACAAAGGGCTCTGACTGTTTTCGCAGAATATTTGGGCTCTTCTGCCAACCTTGTCAACCAGAATGCGCTCTGACAAGCTAGCGCAGCTTCTACGCGCGATTGAATGAATGTTACATCTTGGTTACGTCGTCAAGTTTGCACTGAAACTGTGCAAGTCTATTTGTCGACGCAGACGCGAATATCGAGACCAGAGTCGAGACTATTACTTAGTACTTACTATTATAGGGTAGCGCACGAACCTAGGTTTTGATACACTTAGGTTACTAAGTTACCAGTAAGTTACCACCCCTCGCTGGAGAGGTTTTCGGTCGAGGTAAATTACACATCTTGTGACTGCCTGATAAGCACAATAATTCACTACAACCACATGCATATTCTATATACGGTGTACAGGAGTGAATACACAATACTTTCAGATGATTACAGCAACCTTGATGGCGAAAATTTCTAAAAACGCGAACACGGACATCCTGAAAAAAAATCTGCAAGTGCCGCAGGTCTGTCATGTCATTGTGCACATGATAGGTAAGTAACGGTAATTTACCATATCAAAACGCCCTCCCAATGGTAAGAAATCGTAAGTTAGCCACCTGGAGATTTCGCGCGCTACCCTAGGCTCTCCCGTCAGTCATGTAAGTTACACCGCTGGTTTCGTGCGCAGTGCGCACTACGCAACCCTAGGTAGCTATTACATATAGGTAGCAAGACAAAAAAGGTCACCCATTCAGCAAAAGGATTGATGAGAGTGGGATTCGAACCCACGCCCTTTCGGACCAGATATTACGTAATCACAATGTGATTGGGTCCCTGATCGATCAATCGATCAACCTTAATCTGGCGCCTTAACCGCTCGGCCATCTCACCAGATGGTAATGCTTGTACAAGAGTCTACCTATTGTGAAAAAGTATTTTATACTCCACCCAGTCGAAACAGCTTAATTGCTCGTTGCTCGTGAGACTGCACTTTTCACTCTCTGTGTTATATACATGCATGCAGCCTTGCTAGAATATACCCCTCCCCCTACTTCACATTTTGATTCTTCAAGTCCAACGTATCATTTTAGGAAGTAGTATTTGGAAACCCCGAGATTGAAGTCACTGTGGACAACTATGATACTATCCATGTAATAAGTACAAGAATCGTCTTCACTTTGCTTATGGGTTAATGAGACCTGTCGTGTGGAGGATTCATGTCCAAGTGTTATTAAACAGGTCGACAAGGAATACAACAGTATAGCACTATCGCACTACTACGTTTCTTCTCTAAATATTGTAAGCCTTTGTGAATTCGTCTTCCCTCATCGACAAGTTGAAACTGACCACAGCAGCGAAGGGTTGGACACTTCATGAACTAGAAGCATATACCGATCGCCTCCGTAAGACATGACCCCATTTCCACAGTGACTGGAGTGAACAACATCAGCAATGTAGGCGGAGCAGAGTCATTCGACATACCCAAAACACCGGCATGAGCAAGAAAGAGACACCAGCCAAGAGGGCGGATCCCGGTCCCAAACCAAGGTTGACAAAGAATGCACGGCCAAACAGCGGAAAGACGCTGGCAACCGTCGAGCGGAAGAGATCATTCCCAGCAAGGACCGACGCAGCATACGCGGGGTATGCGCATGTCACGTATGTCAGGATGCCCTGGAAGATGAGGTAGATGCCGGGAAGGTAGAGGGCGGCCCCGATGACAGGTACAATCCAATGGATGCTCTCCTTTGCAGTGAACCCGAAGATGAGGACACTCGTCGGAATGAAGATACTAGCCATGAGTCCGATCTCCAGATGGATCTCGGGCAAGAAGCCAACGCCTGCTGCACGAGCTTCCGCCAATCGAGGCGCGATGCAGTATTTTAGGTAGATAACATATACAGTGTACTGGAAGTACCGGTTAGCGATAGTGGTGATAAAAGTGTGAATGTGCACACGGTGATTGCGCCAGAAACGATGAATCCAAGAAAGGGCAGGCCACTAGCACCAAGACGAAAGTGGTAGATATCTGTAAAGACTAGCGGGAAAGCCTCAAACCACAAGTAAAATATCGCATCTGTTAAATAAAACGTTGTCAATGGTACACAGCAGGAGGTGATATTGAAACTGACAGACAAAACCAACGTAGAGATTCGCAAACATCAAGACAGGCTCTTTGGCAAGAATGAAGGGTCGGATCAGGGCTTCCTTCATCACCGCCGCAAAAGATTCGCCCTCTGAATCCTTCTCACTCTGGGATCGCAGTTGCTCATTTCCCGTCAACTTCCTCAGCCGCCGTGCCCGTTTTAACAAAATCGTGGGTCCGTAAGTCTCAGGGAGAAGAAGAAGGAGGAAAACCAGGGAAAAGCTGACTATCCAGAGTAGTTCGTACTGGGGCCATCGCCATCCGTTCGCCTGAGCTGCAAACCCTCCGATAACTGGGCCAATAATGGGACCGGCAACGCCCCCGAGCGCCCAGATCCCCAATACGTACGCGACGTGATCCATGGAGTAGATATCCGCCATGGACGCGCCTCCAGTGGCGAGTGCAGGGCTGCTAGCGAACCCGGTAAGGAAGCGGAACGCCAGAACCGTGCTCATGTTTTTAGCCATGACGACTGGTATCTGGAAGATGATAAACAAGAATAAGGTTGCCATATAGACCGGGTTGCGACCCAGAGCAGGAAGTTCTTGTAGAGGCGACAGAAACATGGGTCCTATACCATATGCTAAATTTGACATGAGTTCATGTTCATTAAAGGAAGGCGATACACCCACCAAGAACGTACAGTGTGAGACCAAGTGTAGACGTTGTTTGGGAGACGTTGAAGTAGGTCATCAATCCAGGGATAGATGGCGTATAGATAGCGGAGCCAATGTACACGCTAAAGGTCAGGAAACTGATACAGAATGCGACGAACGCGCGTTTCGCTGAAGACCAGTTTCTGGAAATGGTATTCAACGGGTTGAACGGAGAATGTAAAATATATCAAACCTTGGATTCTCCTGGTCGTCGTCTCCGTACCATCCAACGACATAAGGATCCGTCACATCAGCATCCATAGCCAAAGTCGACTCCCTCGTGAGTTCTGCCTTAGGCGTTGTGGTACCTCTGGGCTTTTCCAGGTCACCGCATAGTGTTATCGCGTCGGAATCGGGCGACGATTTGGTCGAAGGCAGGAAATGTAAAGGAATTCGAAAGGCAGGCCGCTGGTCAGCGTATGGGAGGATACGGCCATTCGAGATGTAGTTGATAGCTTGGCCAATGGTCGAGTCGCGGAAAATATCCTGGACCATTTTCCCCTACGAGGAAGAGGGCAACTCCGGGATGGTTGACGCCTTGTTCTCCATCATTCGCTGCTTTTATAGAGAAGAAGCTTCTTTCACACTCTAGCAATGTGCCCATTGCTGAGAAAGAAAAAAGTATATCAAACAAGATGATGGTTAGTGAACAAGGAAAGGATCCTTCGATCTGAGTCCGTTCGGCGTTTTCCGCGACCACTCTGGACACCAACACCTGCATGCATTCCGATCTTTCCTCATTACTGGTAGCATGAGCTGCGGGTGTAGCGCTGGGCCTGACTGTTCTATGTCTACCGCTTGAGTCTTCTTCTCATGAAACGACCGATTATTACTGCGTCGTCTCAATAGTTGCTCAATACCTGTCAAAGCTAAACAATCGGACTTGAATTCTGCTCGACCCCCAAAGTTTGCCTGCCTTCAGCCTATTCAGGACCTGCGCTTCCTGGTTTCATATACGCTGTAGCCGCAAGTAGGATTTTGTTCTCATGAGTAAACCCTAGAACGTTACTACCAGCTTGTTGCATCGTGACTGACCAAATACTACCGAACTTCATTGCGCGGAAATTGAGCATAAATTTTTTTGTCTCGCCTGCTCCAATGAAGCTGTCAATTCCGTTGCCTATTTAGACTCGTAATCCTCACTTCGATGAGCTAATAGCGTCAACACATGTCATAGGCTTGAACCATTACGATTACCCTTTCTTACATTCGTATGTTGTTCGCAATTCCGGAATCCGTATTCTATTCATGGTATCTTACTATCTATCCTATTATTTGCTGGCTTTTTTTTTTTGCTTTGATTCTTCCAAAAGTCACTGATCTGACTTTCGATATCTCCAGCGCGGTTCAGCCATCTCCGCAGTATCGACCAGCACTCGAAATTGGCATTCTACCCCCGGGCGCTAGTACACGGGGAAGCCGCACAACAATCATGGAGTGCAGCTATAGCCTGTTGTTAATACACGCCTGCAAATACGGAAGGCTCTTCACTCGCTCAGCCGTGGTGACATCGAAGTCGACGTGCTCCTCAAGTTTCTCAAGTCAGTTCTTGCTTTATTAACTTACCCTTAAATACAGGACGTCAGTACGGCTGCCGAATCTTCAATAAATCGCTACTATCGTCTTCACCCTTCCCAGCCCATAACATGGCACTTCTATCAGTAGGGACCTCCAATCTCTTCGAAGCAGCCATGATTGCCGTCCACCCGAAGTCGTGGCCCATGTTTCCTTCGTAAAATACTTCCCCCCTACTGGGCCGCCGTAGGAACCCATCACTGCGTGCTGTTCTTTGAGTGCTGAAGCCCGGTTACCGATGCTATTAAACGCGATCAAGGTGAGAGTGGTGCCTTCGACTATGCAATGCCTCGTACTTAAGCATTCTCAGGCTCTTCACCGCTGATGCGACGCCAGGGAGGAATCTGCTGACCTCTTATAGTACGCCTCAACAATAGACTGATTGTTGATACTTGCTGCGGGTTTTCAGGGTGAAGTAAAGATTGTCATGTTCATATGGTGTTTTTCCGTTGCGCAGCTCAGTCTTTGAAAGCATTTCATGAAATTTTGATAACGGAGCTAAAGGTATTCTGATGACAACCAAGAGGCCTGTAATATTGATGACAGCGAAGGCCGATGCCAATAATTGAAAGGCGTGCCCAGAGACAGAGATTGACTCAACAATACAATAAAAATTAAGGGGAGCATCGTCTCCGTGGCTCTGAACTCTGTTAAACTGAGGACATTCCAGGCGCAGGACTAGCTACATGGCCAAAACCACTTTCGAGTTAAGCGTCGGATGAAATTTTCCGAGAATCTTGTGACCGTGAACTGGCGGCCCCGGGCCCCGGGGAGCAAACGAACTTTCTTTCGTCTTGACATGTCCTAGCAACGTGTCGAATGCACGAAAGAACAATGTGCATATTTTCACTTAATCAACATGACTTTCCACTGGTAATCATTGACAAAACGAAGAAGCACTTGGTTAATAGTGCCGTCGCATTCACTTCCGATATCTGCTTAAAAGTCCGCTTTTCACTGCTACACTCTGCATTACCTGTAGATCATGAATCTTCTCTGGGCTTTCGGAACAGCAGCTGTTATATGCGGTGCCATTCTCTACCTTGAACGTGTCTTCCGACGCAGGCAACTCTCGAAGCAGACATGTCTCCTGGACATCGACTCCCTGGGCTTCAGAGCACCTCGCGAGAAGATCAAAGGGACGGCTGTTATCTGTGGTGGAAGGTAATTTTATTCTGTCTCTGGGACCGGTAGACCGTTTGATTAGTTTTTTTAGCATTGGCGGTCTCATCGCAGCTCGAGTATGCCATGACCACTTTGACGACGTCCTCATTGTTGAGCCGGAGACATGGTTGAATTCTCCGGATGCAATGCGGGTGGATCCGTGGAATCAAGAAAGCAATCGCTCGCGAATAGTGCAGTACAACTCGTTGCACCGTAAGTTTTCTTGTTCAATTTCCTCTCTAAAATTTGATTAACGCGTGATGTAGTCCTCCTGGCCATCGGATACAAGGCCCTGTCCAAGCTCTTTCCCAACATCGAAGAACAAAGCAAAGCTTCTGGTATCAGGTAAG